CTTTGCAGCTCGCTCCCGCTGGTTCTCTCCCCTGCCTCCTCTGATGCTTCTGCGGTCTCCCTCAGACGAGACGTCGATCGCGTCCTCTGCTGACGGCAACAGCAATGGCGATAGCGATGGCGATAGCGATGGCGATAGCGATGGCGATGGCGATGGGGATGGCGTTCTCTGTTGATGGCGACGGCGTTCTCTGTTGATGGCGACGGCGTTCTCTGCAGACGCAACGGCGACGTCGATGGCGTTCTCTGCACACGCAACGGCGACGGCGATGGCGATGGCGATGGCGTTCTCTAAGGACGGGACGGCAATGGGGATGGCGTTCTCTGAAGACGGGACGGCGAGGGGGCTGGCGCTCGCGCTGGCGATGGCGGTGGCGGTGGCGGTGGCGATCGCGCCGTGCGCAAGCAAGACGGCGAGGGCGCCCGAAAAAAGAGCTGAGTAGCGGCGCTTCCTATTACAGACCGCCGTCACATCCATCCAGCCGGATCGGGTCGGGTCGGAAGACGCTCCTTGCCCCTTTGGACTCACACGGTTCGCCGCACTGCTGGCCGAATGTGCAAAATGGGGAATGGATTTTCCCAAAGAATGTGTGAAGATACATCCGGCATAGTTCTGCCTTTTTTCTTTTTCTTTTCCTCTCATCTATCTCATCAATCTCATCTTCCCCCGAACATAACGCATATGCCTTGTGAACGAATACAACTGGTACAACGCATACCACCAGTTGTATTCGTTTACAACGCATATGCGTTTTGTTTGAGTGAACTAAACCAACTTACAAGGGGGTCGGGTCCAGGCTGAGTAGGCTCAGTTCTGGACCAGGGCTGGGGACCTCAGAGCCTATGCAAAAAGGTAAAAGTGAAGTAGGGTCTCGCCGCACAGCACACGAAACGAAAACGAAACGAGGGCATCTGCCCACGAAACGTGGCAAAATACACTCGTTACTATTGATAGCAAACCCATAAATACACTCGTTACTATTGATAGCAAACCCATGAACCTGGCCATTTTCTGCAGGAAGATGCACTCATTTCGTTTTTCGTTTTGTGTCCCGTGCGGCAACGCCCGTAGCCACGTACCTTTCCATGTTTTGGCGACGCCCGTAGCCACATACCTTTCTTGGCTGCGCGACATTTCTGGTTGTCAGAAGGGCCTTCCCGCACGGCGGGAAGAGAGAGAGAGAGAGAGAGAGAGAGAGAGAGAGAGAGAGAGAGAGAGAGAGAGAGAGAGAGAGAG